AACCAGTTCACTTCTGTGCTTGTTTATCAGCTCTCCATTCTCTAAGAAATAAAATACATTGCCCCTGTGCTGAAATAGCACAACAGCATCCAACGGCAGCACTCACCCCCCTGCCAGCCAAGCCAGTTAACCATTCTCAGTGCTCCACCCCGCCTGGCCCCTCTATTGTTTCTTACTAACAATAATTCTCACATTTAACGCAGTGGCATCTGAGTGCACACAGCACCAACACCTCAGTCAGGAACTCCAGGATTATGATCATGCAGTAACTAATAACTCCTTTGCTTCTACTAAGACCTCAACTTGCTGGTGCAAAAACTACACCCCCAAATGCCATGGGTTTCTTTGACCAAAAAAAACAAACCAAACCAAAACAAACAAAAAAAAAAAACAACCAACAACCCAAAATAAAGTTTTCCAGTTTATTTCAAGGTAAAATTTGAGAATATTCAATCATTTCTCAGGGGCAAAACATCAATTATGAACCCTGAATGACATCACTTGGAGTGGCGCTTCTGCAGAGTGGATTTCGAGATGGTCCTTGTGTTGATAGATAGGACAGAAAGCATTTCATTTTGCAGTGGCCGTTAAAGCCTTGCCTGCTTTAGAAACAGCTGAAAGTTACTGTTGTCTCATGATTCTTTTATACCACAAGGCAGAGATTTCTCATGCATTTGTAGTTTTTTTCCGTGTCGTGCCAAATGAGCCATCCCTACTGATTTAGCCTCTGCTATCTGACCTAACCAGGTAAAATGCAACATCCAGCCCCTAAGTATGTTTCGTAAAACGTATACTTTGACTCCAAAAATACATAACAAAAAATTCTCTCTTCTTTTCAAATGAAAGCTTGCTTGTGATCATGGTAAATGAAAGGCTGGAAAGGACAAAAATACCCTCAAATATCAGGTAGTCAGCTCTGCAGTTATTAAGAAGTTGCTTTGCTCTGTTGAGTTACTGTGTCGCCAAAACCCCAACAGCCACAGCTATACAAAGCCTACATTGTCTCTGCAAGGCTACTGAGATGATGTTCCTGATTCTTGGCAAGAGCTAGGTGTACCCAGAAGTATTTCATTGGGGGAAAAAAAACGAAACAAAACAAAACAAACAAAAAAAAACACCACAAAAGACAAGTGAAGAGAAATATTATTTTAGGCCTCTCACTGGAAAGATAAAGGTCAGAGTCCTTCCTTCTTCCAAAGTGAAGTGCAAAAAATGTCCTGTTTGCAGGATTGACTTCAGAACATTGAAAATGGCACCTAAAAATCCCCATACAAAACAAATTTCTAAGTGACCCTTGAGAGGGTTTGTGGGTGCAGGCTCTTGGTGATTTGGGGATCTAAACTCCTGACTAAGGAGACAGCTACCTACACTGATATATAGACATAGAGGTTGCCCCTCCATGGTCAAACCATCAGATTTATTTCCATGCTAAAAAGCAAATTTTTGATTTTTACTTTAATCAAAGTTACTGATATCTGTTAGTTTTGGCACAAAGGGGATCTGGTGACTCAGGTATCTATCACCATTTCTTCACAGAAAGCACAGTATAAAATTTCTCACTAAATCAGAGCACTGGTGATTTGGGAGATCACGCACAGGCAGTCAACACCAGCAGATTGAATGAAAAGCTAAAAGTAAATTACTGCCTCACCCATAAGATTACAACATCTGCTTGAGTTTGTCACCCACGATGCTGTGAGCACACGTGTGTTGGAGACCCAGTCTGGAGTAACCCTCAGGCCATTTTCCCTATTGCTCTTTAAGAAAAATAAGACTTCAGTACGTTTTGAATACGGTGTTGCCCAATCCAACAACTACAGCTTCAGAATGCAGTTAAAACCGTAACAATCAGTTTGGTTGTCAGAGCCAATAATACTTCTATGATGGCAGAAATAAGAATTGCCATAAATGTTTTCTGCGATTAAACATTTTTAACAGCTACTAGCAAAGGCTGTTCTGCTTCATATCCAAGTGGTTTGGTTTTTTTTGTTTTGTTTTGTTTCTACAGTTTGCCCAGCTACACCCTGAAACTGTGCCCAACCCTGACAGCAGACCCCAGTGCAAGCTCTCATTGAAGCAGTGCTACCCGAAGGCTTTGCCATCTCTGCTGCTTACATTAAATACTTTAATTCCAAGGCTCTCGACATTTTTAAATCCGCTTTATTGGAGGCAGCGCATTCCTTCACATTCTAAAACTTCAAACAAAGATTTCTCGTGCCAGGCTGCCGCGATTAGCGACTGTACTGACCCGGCAGTCAGCTCCAACTGCTACCCTAACAACCCCCAGCGCGGGGCTGTGTTGTGCCGTGTCCCGGGACACCGCAGTGCCCGGCAGCCGCACAGGAAGCACCGCGGGGATGCAGGGCAACGGCATCTGCCCTCGGCTCCAGCGGGTTAAAACAAACCAGAGGGCGGGATGGGAAATGTGCTGGGAAGAGAACGGGAGAGAGCGAGGCCAAGCGCGCAAGGAGAGTATTTGTCTCTCTCCGTTTATTTCCCAGATAGCTTGTTGGCCTGTCAGCCCGGCTGGCATGGGCCGGCCGCACACGCGGGCCGGCTTTATCGGAGCGCCGGTACGGGAGCTGCCGCCTGCTCCGCGCTGCTCCGCCCCGACCCCTGCGGGACCGCGGCACCCTCGGTGCCCCGGAGCTCGGCGGCTGCGGGCCGGGCTGCACCGTGCCGGGGGCTCGGAGGCACCGGCGGGCTGCTTGCGCTGCCTCGAGGGGCTCCTTGCAGCCCCGTCTCGCAGTCCTGCCCTCTGGTGCTGAGAACGTTAGGAGGGATATCGCGGTCTGTTGGGTCCCAGCCCGCCTCAGCGTAAAGGTTTATTTTAAATTTCTAAAAGGAAATGAGCTGTGCAGATTTCCCCCTGAAACAAAACAACGACAAACTCACAGCAACTACTTACAACACGAATAAGAAGCCCCGGGCATTTCCCATCTAGGCACATACACTCAGAGCAAAGGCGAGGCCTGACCCCCTCCCCGGTCGATCCATGCGTTGAAGACAGACAGCAGAAACTTTTCCCAGGTCAGATCCCGTTGCTGCGCTGCCGGCGCTGAGCAGCCGGAGCCCACCTGCCAGCCCTCAGTGTGCCGCACACGCTGCCGTGCTTTGTGTCGGAAACAAGGAACAGCCAAACAAACCAAACACTCCTTCCGAAAGGTCCTCCAGAGACATCGGGGGCTGCGGATTTGCTTTGACACGGACGAACGTTCCTCTCAATTTCTGAGTTTCTCGTCCGCAGGTGACTCTGTCCCTGCTCTCGGTTACTGCCTGCTGCCACCCCTCGTCTGCCAACTGCTCGCAGTGAGGCATGAGAAGGGACCCCCGAAACTCCTTCGTAACCCTTTCTCTTTGCCTCCCGCCCACAAAATACATACGTATATGTACACACCAAAATAAATAAAGACCCGTGTTCCCAAATGTGCAGTCTGAGCAAACTTCTGTCCCGCTCCGCTGCCGTTCCGACAGAGCAAAACGCGGCACCTACCTGCAGCCCCGCCGCCGCCGGCACCATCCGGGGAAGGCGAAGCCGTGGGGCAGCGACTTAGCGCATTGTCCCTCCGGCCCCGCTGCTAAGTGAGAGTTGAGCAACTCCTCGCAACGCTGCCGCTCGCAGCAACAGCCGATCCGAGCCTCCACTCTTGGCTCACTGTACTTTTTTTTCTTTTCTTTTTTTTCTTTTTTTTTTTTTTTCTGTAAGAAGTCTTTTTGAGAAGTAAGACGTGGGGAGAGCCCCGCGCTCAGCAGTTCAAGCAGTTCAGCCAAAGCCCCTGCAATAAGCCGCACATTCCTGCGCGGAGCGGCGCGGAGCTGGGGCTGGACTGGGACCGGGGTTGGGCTGAGACTGGGGCTGGGCTGGGACTGGGGAGCGCTCGCCTCTTCCCCGCTGCGGAGCTCAGCGCACTCCCGGACCCCGGGGAGTAAAAGCAGGGATCTCCCCCAGCTCCGGGGCCGTTTTATTTTTTGTCGTCCCCCCCTCTCCTCCCCTTCTCCCCGCGCTCACAGTAGCAAGGTTGTCTCTTGGCTACTCCCTGCCCCAAACTCACCAAACCAGATTCTTACTCCCAACACCTTCCCGTAAATCTGAAGTGAAACGTTACCCCGCGCTGAGCCCTGGTTGGCTCCCGGCCAGTGCATTCCTCTTGTTTCAGGAGGGCAGAAGAAAAAAATAGAGGGAAACCTGTAGAGATACAAAGGCTAGAAGGAAGGAAGCGAACTTCTAGAATAGCTTTACCAAAAATATTGCGGGAGGTAGCGATTCTATTTTATCTTCAAGGGCTATGCCGGTGCTTTTTTTTTTTTTTTTTTTTTTTTTTTTTGGCTACTGTCAGGCAGGGGAAAGTCTCCCCTTCGGCCATCTGCATCCCTCGGGCAGACGGAGGTTTGAAGAGAAGACGAAGCTGCACACACCGGCAGCAGCCAGCAGAGCTGGGGGAGAAGCCCTCGTGCTTCTCTGATCTGCTCAGCCCACCTCTGCGCTCAAAGGAGTGCCACATTTTACCATTTTCTGGCCTGTGGTTACATCTGGTTTGAGAGAAAGGACAAAAGGGAAACCAGTTTGTAACAACAGCGGCCGAGCCTTCCTTTCACATCCAAGTGATCCCTCTGCCAGCTGCTTTGAATGCCTACAGAAACAATGGAGTGGGACCACAACCTTGGCCACCCCCTTGCTATCAGTGCTTGGCTGTGGGCTTTGACGCATGGACAGAGCACGAGACCTATTTATGGTAGATGGAACCAACCAGCAGAGATCCAATTCAGTTTGTGATGAAACCAACTGGAACTGGAAACTGTTGTTTTCCCCCCAAATTAGCTTCTTTGAGTTATGGCCAGGCAGAGGGATGTGATCATAGAATCATAGAATAGCTTGGGTTGGAAGGAACCTCAAAGATCATCAAATTCCAACCCCACTGCCACAGTCAGGGCCACCAACCTCCAAATCTAATACTAGACCAGGCTGCCTAGGGCCCATCCAACCTGGCCTTGAACATCTCCAGGGATGGGGCATCCACAACATCTCTGGCAGCCTGTTCCAGCACCTCGCTTCTCCAGCTATCCAGGAGAGCAGACAAAGCTCCCTGCAAGCAGAAGGACAGCAGTCCTGTAAGTCACATCTTTAATTACATAGTAGTGGGGATAAAAGCTGTGACAAAAATTAATTCTTCTCAATTCCTGTTAATTTTTATAATAACTCTTCTCAATCCTTTTTTTGAAAGAAATACTCAGAGCTGAGAATACGTATACTGCTTTATTAATATTCTATAACCTGCAGTTTTTGAAAGCAGTTTGTCCCTCTAAACTGCAATTTCATTTTATTTTTTTTTTTTAGATGAGAAAACTTCCATTGGCTTTACCTAAGCCAGCCACACTTGACTCCCTAGGAAAGTTATGCTTTGGGCAGGAATTGAAGAATCAAACCACTACAACAAAGCCAAAGAGCCAAGTATTGCAAAGTTCCAACTATCTTTATTCAAAAGTTGATAAAGGGATGCAATTCCAGTGTTAGCAAATGGGGCAAGAATAAAAAAATCTTTCAGAACTTACCAGTATCAGCGTGCAAATAATCACAGGGGAAATTGCCATCAGGTTCTTGAGATGAGAACTCAATATTAGCTGCGAACATTCTGCAATTACATTTTCTAAAGAAAAATAGTCCAGAAAAGCAAATTGATTGTCTCAGTGGTAGTGACATCTCTGAAGTATTCTAGCATCATCTTCCTCAAAAACCTGGTCCAGTTGTCCAACAGCAAGGCCAGGCAATCCACTGTAGGAACAAATCCAATGTAGGGACAGCTTATGCTCTATTTGCTCTGTCAGAGGAGCAGGAGTTGTTGGAAAAAAAAAAAAAAAAAAAAGCCTTCTGCCTACATGTGCAAATTGTTTCTTTTAAATTAGATTCTTCATTGAAATACAAAACATGATATAGAAATTGGGAAGAAATATGAATGTACCATCCAGGAAGCAGCTCTATTACCAAGAGGTGTGTCTGCACCAGTACAGAGCCAGCTTCTGTAAGGCACACTGTGAAAGTTCAGCTCTTTGACTGATGTATTTCTGTCCAAAAAAAAGCAAGAGTAGTTCTAGCCACAGTGCTGGAAAACAATAACTTCCCCTTGTAGTACTGGCTGTGCCAGCCATCCTACTCAGGTCATCCTTCCACTGCTGGGCAGGCTGGGGAGAATTCAATTCCCTCTATGAAGGTGAGTTCATGCCTTTGTTTCTGGTGGAGGCTTCGGGTTGGGTTTGCTTTGGAGTTACCAAAGATAAAGAAGAGTTTGTCATTTTCCCTAGTAGTAGTAGTTCAGCTGCAGGTAAAGGAGTTACAGCATAGGGATTCAACCAGAGCAAATGCCAGGCAATAGTTCACCTGACAATCAAAATACAGGTAGCACCCACTCTTTCAATGTGACAGACACTTACCATAGGCCCACATGAGACTGCAAGGCACCACACCTGCCTCATACCTGGGCAGGTGTAGGGATGTCCATGATGCATCTGCCCACAGCTGTTTAATGGGCATCCAGGCTAGAGCAGTAGTGCCACACTAGACACAATGCTGGTGGCAATAAGTGGTGTATTTCATATCACTCTTGGGTTTACAGATCCCAGTTAAAATAAAAGGCAAGAGTTGCCAGACGATTCTTGAAGCCCACTTTCCTTTCTGTGTGCAACACCCATCCAGATGACAGCAGTGATTCAGGAAAGTCTCTTAGAATCATCACAGAACCATCATAGAATTGAGTTGGAAGGGACCATTAAAGGTCTTCTGATCCAACTCCTCTGCAATGAACAGGGACATTCACATCTAGATTAGGTTGCTTGGAGTTCCATCCAGCCTGGTCTTGAGTATCTCCAGGGATGGGGAGACACCACCTCTCTGGGTAACCTGTGCCAGTGCCTCACCATCCTTACTGTAAAGAACTTTTCTTTGTATTATATTCTCCCTCCGTGTATCCAACTTCTCTTTACCATCAGGTGCTGGACCTATCAGAGGATGAGGTGGGATGAAAGCATTCCTGAAAATTTATGATGAGTTGTAGAGCTTGTCACCACTGTGTTTTAGGTCTGATCTAAGTTTACGTTTAATCTAAAGATCTAATTAATCCACTGAGCCATTTTTTTTCATATCAGAATATTTTTTCTCTCTCTGTGAGTCCCAACCTCTTGGCTGACATGATGTTCTAGTGGGCTGTGAGCTCTTCACATGGGACGGGAATAGCTGCAGTTTTCTGCAGCACCCCCAGTCTGTGGGTTAAAACAGAAGAGCTGTCACAGCCCCAGAGCACCCAACAGAGATTTCCTGTTTCTCTGCCAAGCCATGGTAGGGTTTCAAACCAAAATAAAAGAATTTAATGAGTCCATAGCAAAGAGAATTCAGCTAAGTGCAGCATCATTAGGCCACTAGCACTGATCTTTAAAGGCATCAGATTCTGATCAAGGAAGGTGTCCTCCAAAACTGGTCTTAAAATGGCAATACAAAATTTCTGGCTATAGATCTGGGCATTTTGGGGGAGTTCTCCTGGTTGGTAACATTTCCTTCTGAACATGGCTTATTATGGTGCCAGTTGTGCAATATCTGTTTTACAGTTTATCATTACTGCCAAGAGCTGACTTTATTTCAGCAAGAAACCACATGTTGAAGGTTTGGTGGCTGCATTTCATTCAGCAGATTATGAAACCTCCCCCTCTCTTAATTTTTTAATAAGTGGGAAACTATGAAAATCACAAGTGAGAAATGTGGTACTCAGGAGTGAAATGTTTCTTAATAACAGAAAACTGATTGGAGAGTTAAGGAATATTTTTACTTCTGTTAAAAAAGAAACAGTTAAAAAAATTTCTATTTCAACTCTAAGTCTTTGTTTAAACTTTCTTCTGCAGAACATTTCCCAGTACACGATTAGACATTTGTGCATGAATTTGGGAAGCAAAGACATGCTGCAATTAACTCCATATTTAAATGTTAGAGAGTTTGACTTTTTTCCTAGTGTAAGCTAAAGGTTGGAGGATAGCATTCCTGAAAGCAGCTGATGAAATACCATTATTTCCAAAATAAAAGACACCTCATCTCGTTAGGTGTAGAAATTTCAGAGTAGCTTGAATTTTTCCTGATAATCTGAATGACAGGGATGATAGCTGATGTGATTTCCCAGTCTGTGTGTCTTTCTCTTCTGCTTGGAAGTTTGACCTCCCCTCCCCTCCCAACAACCCCTTCTATCTGCACACTTCCCACACTCAAACTCTCAGTTAAGCCCTCCGTGTCCCAGCCCTTCTCACCTTTTGCCCATCTCAGCACTCTGCTTTGCCACAACTCTGGCAGTCCCAACACAGATCACAAAGATACTCACTTTTCTACAGTTAGCACCCCAATACCTCATACAGTTCCCAAGCTAAAAGTAAGAAACCTACTGCTGACTTGTTCTTAAATGCTTCGCCAAGCAAGCTGCAGCACCAGGGATGTCACAGCAATGACACGTTTCCATAGGAGAGGCTCTATCTTGTCTTTTGTGCCCAGGAGAGTGGGGACACCTGGTCTGTGTTCCTGCTGCGTTTGGCCACTAGCTACTCCTGGTGGCCTTGGCAGTTGGGGAGGCACACTGGGGCATTTCAGCTCAGGCCCTGTGCATGGTACACCTCTGCTCCACATAAACATGCCCTGAGATAACCCAGGCTGCACCTCTAACCTTAGAGCTGCTGGGAAATGCAGCGAGCGGCTGCTCCTCATCCCTCTCGCTTTTAGTATGGCTCTGGAGGAAGGCAGCTCTGTGCTTTAACACACCTCCTCCAGCACAGGCATAATAGCACTGTCCTTTCTGGTGTTAATGTGCTGAAATCTCTCACATACGTGGAAAAGTTTCCTGATTTTTATAATCCAGTGAGAACCTGAAAATGATTAGATAAAAGTTTCTGAACATTACATTGTTCCTCTCTCTTAATCTCTCTGATGAAAAGGGTGGATAGTTTGCATGTGGGGTCTTGGAGATGTCTTCTGCCTTGTGGAAAGCCATGAATTCATGGGCTAAAACCTGGGCATAGCATTCACAACAAATAAATCTTTCTCTAGCTCAAAACTGGAAGCTGCAGCTGGTGAAATTGGAAGCTGGGTAAAATCACACACTGTGATATGGTTTTGGTTTAACCCTGGCTGAGAGGCGTCCTGAGTGCCATGTGCTCCACAGTCACATCTTTTTGGAGGGAAGTGAAACAGGCAAAGTGCAGCAGAAGCATTTCAGCAGGAAATTATCGTTACATACTGAAGCAAGCTCTAAGAACACAAAAGAAATCAAGCCAAGAATTCAGCCATTTGTTAATCCCTGCAACGAGGGAAAGGAAAACAAAAGGAGCTGCCTAATTTCACAATTTGTCTCTCTAATGAGGCCCCAAGAAGCAGCAGGTATTGCCATACACATGTACACACTTGTGCACTCAGTGGGTGTGAGCTTGTGCAGAGGTCAGAGAAGGAGGAGGAAGGTCTGTGCCTGTGGAGGCAGGGGGGTTTGCACACATCCCATAATAGTTGTGGGTGGTTAGCAGAAAATGCGCAGGCAAGTAGCTCAGTGACTCAAAAATAATGAGAGCTGAACCCCCTGCACTTTGGATAGACAGAATTGCTCCAGCAGTAACATGTGATGTACAAAAAGCCAGTGTGCATGCAGGCAGCAGGGCTGTACAGGGGAAAACTGCCTCTGAAACAGGAAGGTCACCCAGATACACGATGTTCCTGCCCTACTCTTAATGTTAAAGGGTTTTTTGTTAGACTGATTAGGTTTTTGTTGCTTGTTTGTTTTTGTTGTCCTTTTTGAATCATCACTTCTAATAGAGCCAGGAACATTTATTGCTATTCCGATTACCTGCAAGAATATAAAACCACATGATTTCTTGGACACGGGAGATCTTGGAACAGTTTCTCTGTTTGCAGCAAGCGATCACAGTACATTGGAGGGAGGCTCTGTAGTTGCTGCAAGTAGGACTCTCTCCCTGCATGGCTTCCCAGGGACAGTGCTGTCTTTGCCTGCATGCCATGGACTGCCTGCTGTCCTGCATGCCATCTCACAGCTTCTGAGCCCCTGGCCATCTTCAGTCTTCCAACCACATAGTGTTTAGGTGAACAAAGAGGGCCCAAAGATGAATTTCAGCAGGAAATTGTTATTATTTTTGCATTTCATGGAATCGTAGAATCATTAGGATTGGAAAAACTACTAAAATCATCAAGTCAGCTATCAACCCATCCACACCGTGTCCACTAATCATGTCCCCCAGCGCCACATCTACAAATTTCTCGAACACTTCCAGGAACAGTGACTCCACCATCTCTCTGGGCAGCCTGTTACAATGCATCACCACTCTTTTGAGAAGAAATGTTTCCTAAAATCCAACATGAACTTCCCTGGTGCAATCTTAAGCCATTACTTCTCCTCCTACCACTAGTTACCTGGGAGAAGAGATCAACCCCCTGTTGCCACAACCTTCTCTCAGGCAGTTGTAGAGACCAATAACGTCTCCCCTGAGCCTCCTTCAGGCTAAACAATTTGTCTTGGTTTTCAACACAGCTCTATGATGATGCTCAGATTTGGAACCTGCCCTTGTTTCAATTGCCAGCCATCACAGAAAAGCCTAAACCTCTCTGATAACTGCCTTCAAGAAAGCATGGCTGCTGTTGCACACCACCATCCATGAGATGTAACACATTTTCAAAGCAGTTCCTTAAAATATCCACATGAGGTGTTGAGATGATTGAAAAAAAAAAAAACAAAACAAAACACAAAAAAACAAAGAAGGGGATCAGGGCCTTGACCACCTTTGATCAAACATTACTCATGTTTGAAGCATGAAGAAGAGAAGGCTCAGGGGAGACCTCATTGCTCTCTATGACTTCCTGAAGGGAGGTTGTAGTGAGCTGGGGGTCGGCCTCTTCTCTCATGTCGTTAGTGATAGGACCAGGGGGAATGGTTTCAAGCTACAGCAGGGGAGATTCAGGCTGG